AAATTATCACACTTCAATGTGGTCAATGCGGAAATCAAATAGGTGTGGAATTTTGGAAACAGCTATGCAATGAACATAATATTGATCAAGAGGGTATACTAAAAAATAATAATTTTTTAAATGAAGATAGGAAAGATATATTTTTTTACCAAGCCGATGATGAACATTTTATTCCGAGAGCTTTGTTATTTGATTTAGAACCTCGTGTAATTAATAGTATCCAGACTAGTGAATATCGAAATTTGTATAATCCTGAAAATATGTTTATTTCTAAAGAAGGTGGAGGTGCAGGTAATAATTGGGGGTGTGGATATAGTCAAGGACATAAAGTAGAAGAAGAAATTATTGATATGATTGATAGAGAAGTAGATAATAGTGATAATTTAGAAGGATTTATATTATCTCATTCAATAGCTGGTGGTACAGGTAGTGGTATGGGAAGTTATTTGTTAGAATTATTAAATGATAATTATTCAAAAAAAATGATTCAAACCTTTTCCGTATTTCCATTATTAACAAATGAAAGTAGTGATGTAGTTGTACAGCCATATAATAGTATATTAACATTAAAAAGATTAATATTGAGTACAGATAGCGTTGTTGTAATAGATAATACATCTTTAAATAGAATATTTGTAGAAAGATTAAAATTAAATAATCCTACATTTCAACAAACTAATACAATTATATCTAATGTAATGTCTGCATCAACAACAACATTAAGATATCCAGGAAGCATGAATAATGATATGATAAGTTTAATATCCTCACTTATTATTAACCCTAAATGTCATTTCTTAATAACTTCTTATACACCTATAACAATTGACAAACATATATCTAATGTACAAAAAACAACTGTTCTAGATGTAATGAAAAGATTATTACATACAAAAAATATTATGGTATCAGCACCTGTTCGAAGAGGGATGTATATATCTATTTTAAATATAATAAGAGGAGAAACAGATCCTACACAAGTACATAAAGGTTTACAAAGAATTAGAGATAGAAAATTAGTTAATTTTATCAAATGGAATCCAGCATCTATACAAGTTACATTAGCTAAACAATCACCACATGTAGTATCTCCACATAAGGTATGTGGATTAATGATGGCAAACCATACATCTATATCTGCCTTATTCGAAAGATGTGTAACACAATTTGATAGGTTATATAAAAGAAGAGCATTCTTAGAAAATTATAAAAAAGAATCTATGTTCTCAAGTGCTGACGGACAAGGAAACTTTGAAGAAATGGAATCTTCTAAAGAAATCACACAAAATTTAATTGATGAGTATAAAAGTGCTGAACGGGACGATTATTTTACTAACACATATATATAATTTTTTTTTCTTTTTTTTATACATTTTATGATAAAACATAAACATATAGGTATATCCATATGTGTATAAAAATATATATCTGAGTATACCACATCGACGGTGAAATTTTTTCAATTTTTTTTTCTTAAATATGAATATTGTAATTATAAATAAATATATAAATATATATATATATATATATATATATATTTTTACCTATGTACAATTATGCTACAAGCAAGTAGACCTATTTTTATTTTTTTTTATTTTTTTTTTTCATTGTACCCTTAAAAATTCAACTATATATAACTTATAGATATCTATTTTATTTTTTTAAAATATTATTATTTTTATCATTGTTTTTTTGTTGATGGTAAATATATGTGTTATTTAAAAAAATATATATATATATGTATACAATATATAAATTAATAAATAAATACATATATATATATATATATATATATATATGTACATATATTTATGTTTATTTATGTTCCCCTGTGGTGGAAGCATTGGGTAACACCTAAAAAATATACAGATTAAATTTTTTTATTTTTTTTATTTTTTTTATTTTTTTTTTTAAAAAATAACTTCTTGGGAGGCACTGTCCCAGTTTTTATACAATCACCACATACATCCAGCAGGGGGAAGTAATGTTGAAGGGTAGACATAATCAGCTGAATTTAATACACATGGAAGAATATATGGTTCTTCATATTCAACACCTTTACTTGTAACCTTAACGATTTGTATAAAATTTGATGATGTAGCATCCCTAAAATATAAAATTCTCAAGCATTCATTTATTAAGATTCGTGCTTCTTCTTCTGTCATATTATCTTTATAATGATCTCTTAATAATGTAAGAGCGAAATATCTAGCATATCCTGTAGTGATATAATCATCACAAAAATTTGTTCCATGCATATCTACAAATCCAATATATAAATCATCTTTATGAATTTCTTTATATTCTTCATTGCTTTTAAATTCATTATGTTCATCGTCATCTTTTTTATTTGTATATAATAAAACATTATCATCATTATTATCATATTTTTGTGAATTTATTCCTGCTATAATTATATTATTAAATAAGGGATCTATCCTATTCTTTCTAACATAAAAAACCCTACTTACATACGAATGGTAATGTTGAGGTGTATACATATCTTCTTTTCTTTTCTTCTCACTTAAATTATTTATATTCTTACGTGTAAGTAACTCATGCAAATATTGAGCATCAGCTAGCTCACCACTAAAACCCATAACCGTCTTATTATTTATTTTAAAAATTCTTTCAACATTCTGAAATTTTGCATAACTACCATAGCTAGCTAAAATGGGGAATAGAAAAAAAAAAAAAAAAAAAAAATAAAAAAATAAAAAAAAATATATAAAATAAAATAATAATAATAATAAATTATATATATGCATGTATATAAACATGTGAATATATACAAATGGTATGCACATATATATATATATATATATATGTATAAACATAAATATATACATTTTTATATGCTTATATTTTTATTTATTACCTTTTCTATCTGCTGCAATCATTATACCGTGTTTATATTTTATGGCAATCACGGATGTACCTGTTACGACTGGGCCTAAGGTCATTTTCCTTTCTTTTTTAATATTACAAATGTAAAAAAAACTACAAAAATATTAAATATTATGTAGTATGTATGTTATATGGTATATATATTATAAATGTTATATTATACATATATATGTTGTATGTTTCTTATTTTTTATTTTATCTGTTTATTTATATGTGCAAAGGTATAAAATAAATAAATATGTTCCATATATATTTTTTCTTTACCTCTTTATATTTTATTAAATAAAAAAATATATATTTTTTTCTTTTTTGTACAAATTTATTATATCATAATATTACGTTTAAGGATATTTGTTAATTAATTTTTACTTATAAATACAATATATTTATATATAAATAAGAAATACAATAAAATAATAATTCCAAGATATGAATTTTTTTTTTTTTTATTATTATTATTATTAAAATTAAAAAGGATATTTATAAATACACATATAAATATATTCAAGAAAAAAAAAAAAAAAAAAAAAAAAAAAAAAAAAAAAAAATATTAATTAGAGGTATTAGAATATATATATATATATATATATAATGTATATATGTAATATTTTTTATTTTTACGGATATGAATATTATACATATAAATATTATACATATAAATAATTATACATATAAATATTATACATATAAATAATTATACATATAAATATTATACATATAAATATTATACATAAAAATATTATACATACAATATTATATATATATATATATATATTATATATATATATAATTATGTTTTTATACAATTATTTCCATATTTATATTTATTATAAAATATAATATTTTTAAAAAACAATAAGAAAAAAAAGAAAATAATAACACTTTTAAAATTGTTCTTCCCATACAGAAATTTATAATATGAACAATTTTTTTTTTTTTTTTAAATCAATAAGGAAATTATAAAAAAAAGAAACATTTTTTTAAAACATATTTTAATAAATGTAAATCAAATTATCTTTTTTGTAACCTTACAAAAAAATATACATGTATAAATATATATATATATATATATATATTTTATTATTGTATAAGGCAAGCACCTCTATTAATATATATATATATAAAGATTATTTAAGAAATGCATTTACGTTTATATAAATACATTATAAAACTTAAAAATGGTTAAAGTGCGAAAAAAAAAAAAAAAATTCCTATTTCATCATGATATATGAGGTTTATACATTTAATAATTGAATATCAAAGAAAATCAACATGTTCTAATAAGTAATATTATAATATGCACATATATATATTATATATATATATATATATATATATATAATGTGTTGTTTTGGTTGTATTCATATCTATATATATAATAGATTCTTACAAAGATATAAATGAAAACCTTTTCCTTAGAGTGTATATTGGTTGTTTTATATATCATAGTAATTAATATATAAAAATAAATATACGTCTTATATTTTTATTCGTATTTTTCACATATATATATATATATATATATATATATATTTATATATAACATGTAAAGGATATGATGATATATATAAGTGATATGACCAAATATTAATATATGAGCTTGGTTCCCAAAATTCATCACAATAACAGAAAAAAAAAAGATGAGTTTATATATATATTATTACATATATAAAAGGAGTATTAAAAAAAAAAAATATATATGTATTTAATATTTTTATTTGTTAAATACATTCAAGTCGTATATAAAAATTAAAATATACTTTTTATTTAAATATTTAAGGATTTTCCATACTTTATAAATGTCATGCATAACAACTATTGCATTTATAAACCTTTATTCTTTTTTTATATAACAAGAAATATGTATATATATATATATATATATATATATATATATATATTTATTTATTGTATCATATAATTTTTTATTTATTTATTTGTTTATTTTATTTTTTATTATCATAATATTCATCATTTTGATATTAATCCTTCCCTCTTTTTATTAATTTTTTTTATATCATATACATAATAATAATAATAATTTTAAAATACAGTATTTACATTTTTATTATTTTTATTATATATATATATATGCCTCCTCAGGGTCTTTAAAAAAATAACAAGGTAATAAAGGTGACCTTTAAGTTTTCTACAAACATTTCATTTATTCAGTTTTTTTTTTTTTTTTTCATCATTGGAGGTTCAACCATAAAAATGGAAGGATCAATGAAAAAAAAAAAAAAAAAAAAGAAAAAAAAAAAATATATATATATATAAATTATATATATATATATATATATATATAGTATATTTTTCTTATAATATATATATATATATATAATATATATATATGTACTTTTTATTTATTTTTTTTTTTTTATAAAGCTCTACGGCTAAAAAAAAATATAAAGTGCGCTATAAAATATTAACAACATAATTATTATTATATTATATTATATTATATTTATATATGCATAATATTAATTATATTATTTTTTTTTTATATTTTTTTCATCCATCATATATATAGTTCTGAAATATATATTATTCATAAAAAAAAAAAAAAATATTGTGAGAACAGTGTTTAAAGGGTCTCTTATAAAATTTTTAAAATAACAAAATAAAAGGAATATTCAAATTTGTAATATGCTTTTGTTGTTTTTCTTTTTTTTATAAAGAATATGACCATAATTAATAATTAAAGATTAATATTATTATATATATATATATATATATATATAATATTTTTATTTATATATGTTTATTTATTTATATTTATATATTTATTATTTAAATCCTACGTTTCTTTCTTTTTTAATTTTAACACCTTGAAAAATTATATATATATATATATATATATTTATATATATAATATAATTATTGTTGAATAAAAAATATTATAAATAGTTAATATTACCAAAAAAAAAATATAATAAAAAAAAAAAAAAGATATATATATATATATATATATATATAATAATATATAATAAATATCTATTTAATATTACATACGTATTAATATCATTTTGTTATATATTATATTTATATGTGCATATAATATATAATTTATACGTATAAAACATAAATGATGTAAAATATATATATATATATATATATATATATATATATATTTATTTATTTATAATTTATTAATATATGTGCTTTTTTAAAAAAATTAGTTAAACAGTTATAAAAAAATAAATGTATGTTTAAAATGCTTATTTATAAAAAAATTTTCCTTACATAAAAATTTGGTGGGGCCAAGAAACATATAAAATAAAAAAGATAGGAAGAAACACAAAAAAAAAAAAATATATGTCCCTTGAAATGTATACATTTATAATGAAACACCACAATGTAAAGAGGAATCAATGTATATATATATATTAATATATATGTACAGTATACTTTATATGTATATATAATTTTTCACAATTCCTTGGACATATATATATATATATATATATATATTTTTTTTTTTTTTAAATAATGGCAAGCAACGAATCGTCAGGTGGGAATTTCTCATCTGGCGACTCTTTAAGCCACACCAATGAAAAAAATAAAAATAAAAATAAAAAATATGACAAGTATGATAAATATGATAAACGTAAGAGGGACACATCCTCCTTGTCTTCTTCACATTCTTCTTATATATCTAATGCCTCAAGGGTTAGGGATGAAAGAAGAAAAAAAAAAAAATGCGAAGAAAAGAAAAGATCATATCATAAAAGAAATAGGGATAATGATAATGATGATTATAGTAATGATTATAGTAATGCTTATAGTGATAATAATGATCATCATGTAAAAAAAAAGAAACCGAAAAAAGATAAACACAAGAGTGATAGTTGGTCATATAGTAGTGATGATTCGAGTGAAGAGAAGAAAAAAAAAAGGAGACATAAAAAAGAAAAGAAAAGAAAAGAAAAACATAAAAAAAGAGATACTAATATTTTAGATGATAAAATTAAGAATAAGAAAGAAAATAATTTGACTGTAAAAGAATTAAAAAAAGAAAGAGAAAATTTAATGAAAAAACATTTTAATTATACAGATGAATGTAACCCGTTTGGTGACAATACGTTATCAACACCATTCGTTTGGATTTTAAAAAAAAAATATGAAAAAATAAAGAACCATAAAAAAATAAAATTAACAACGAATAGCCTTCTTGAAAATTGTGTTTCTAAAATTAATGAAATTGAACAGGTTAAGAAAAGAAGAGAAGATAGAGAAAAAGAAAGACAGTTAATAGAAGATCATCGTTTACAAATAGAGAAGCAAAAAAATCAAATTAATATAAAAGAATATATGGAAAAAGAACATCTCTTTTTTTTTAATCAAGAAATACATTTCTCAAATAAGAGGATTAAACACAAAGATATACAACCAATAGATATTTTTAGGACAGCTATACAAATATTGAAAGGAGAAGAGGATCTACAAAAAACTGTAGGTATTGATAATTACACCATGCCATTTAATAAGATATTAGAAGGTAAATAAAGACAATATATGCATATAGGCAAGTATATATATGAACACATATATATATATATATATATATATATATATATATATATATGTATATATGTATGTATAATGTTTATATGTACACCTCTTATAAATTTCTTGTCATTTTTAATGATGATTTAATATAAAAAAAAAAGCACATTTGTTAGAACAGAATAAAAAGTGTGTTGAATTATGTAACTTTCTGAAACTATGAACAAATAAATATAATTATTTTATTATATTTTTAAGAGGTTTATGAGATACTTGCCTATTTTTTTTTTTTTTAAATATATATATGAAAATATATATATATATATATATATATATATTTCAAATGTAAGAATTCATGTTTGCTTTTAATTATTTTTTTTTAGGTTTGAGAGAAAAAGAATTATTAAACTGCGAACGCCAAATAAAATTATTTCTGATGCATGATAAAATATTTAATGAAGAAAAGTATGAAAACTTTTGGAATGCACTATTATTTTTTTGTAAATATTATTTAGATAAGATCCAATTAAAAGAACAAGAGAAGAATTATACAGATGATAATACAGACAATAAAATAGAAGCCTTTTTTCTTAATAAAACATATGATGAATTAATAACATATGAATATACAATAAAAAAAAAAGTACTTATGGAAGAATCAACAGATAAAGATATGAATTATTGGAATATGTTATTGTTTAAAATACCATATTATAAATCTAAATATATATTGAAATGTTTTCAAGAAAAATTAAAAAAGATGTTGAATAAAAATGATAACACTATTGAGGACCCTCACAGGTACATTGAAAAAAATAAAAAAATAAATAAATAAATAAATAAATAAATAAATATATATATATATATATATATATATATATATTTATATTTATATTTATATTTATATTTATATTTATGTTTATATGTTTGCAATTTATTCACTTACTATTTAACCGTATCATTAAGGAAGTAGTAAACTATACGATTGCTAAAATAATTATGACAGTTTTTTTTAATTATTAAAATTATTATATTTTTTTTTATTAATTTTAATAAAAAATGAAATTGTGTACAAATATTAAATTTAATCGTATTATATGAATAAATATATATATATATATATATATATATATATATATATATATATATATATTTATATATTTATATATTTATATATTTATATATTTATATTTATTTATCCTTGTAGGGAACAAGAAGTAAAGACTTCAAGGAAAAACATTAAAGTATCCGAAGAGAAACAAGAAAACGTACCTTACCACTGCGATAGCCCCATATTATATGATATAAACATTCTTGAAGAAAATACAAATGAGAAAGAAAACATATATTATTCAGAGGAAGAATTAAAAGAAAGGAAAAAAATATATGAAAATATTTTGATAAAATTGAAAGGCAAAGAAGAAGACGTTTTATGTATGCTTAGTTGTGTAAAAAGTGGTAATAATAAAGACAATGAATTAAATGCTGAAGTTTATGATGACATGAAAGATGATGTTATGAATGATGATAATAGATGTTATAATTTTTCATGTCTTACTGAAGATATTAAAAACAAAGACAATTTAAATAATTTGTTTAAGGAAGATAAAAAAATATATGATATATTTGTACAAAGAGAAAAAAAGAAAGGAATAAAGGATGAAATAATTATGAAGGATATACCACATAATATTGTGAAAGCAGCAACATTATTAAATAATAATTTATTTGTAGCAAGAAAACCTTTATATTTTAATCGAATAAAAACAAGTTTCGACTGGAATAAATATAATAAAACACATTATGATTATGAAAATACACCTCCTAAATATATTTGTGGTTATAAATTTAATATTTTCTATACAAACCTAATAAATAAAAATCATAAACCTACATGGAAACTATATCCATCAAAAGATGATGATACTAAAGTTATTATCATATTTCATGGAGGAATACCTTATTTAGATGTGGCTTTTAAAATTATAAATGCAGAATGGTCTCTAGATAAAAATAAAGGATTTAGAAATATTTTTGATCGAGGTATCTTACAATTATATTTTAATTTTAAGAAAAAAAGATATAGAAGATAAAAATAAATCTAAATATAAATTAATCTATCTAAATAGATACATACATATATATATATATATATATATATATATATATATATATATATAATATGTAATATATAATTTATATTTCTTTATATATTTTTTTTTATGTTAAAATCATTTTTTTTTTTAATTTTTTAGTGATATATATATATATATATATATATTTTTTTTTTTTTTTTTTTTTTGTTAAAATGAAAAATTAGCTATATAAATATACTTTAAAATAAAATAATAAAAAAAAATACGATATTATATATATATATATATATATAATATATATATATAGATTTTTTTTTTTTTTTATGAAGAATAATAAAAATATATATTTTATTTTATAATTAATATAAAAAAAGTATTAAGTATAAAAATAAAAATATTATTTTATATTATAATATAAAATTATAACTTATTTATATATATTATATATATATATATATATTTTTACATATAATTATTATTATGTGGTATTATATTTTTTTTTTTTTTAACTTTTGTAAACTACAACAGTTTTCTTTTAAAAATAATAAGATCTATAATTTTATATTTTTATTTTTTAAAAATTAATATATTTCATATATATATATATATATATATATATATATATATATATATGTATTATTAAATGAACCCTCTTCAAAAATCTTTTAAAATGCAAAAAAAAAAATAAAAAAAATAAAAAAAATAAATAAAATAAAAAAAATAAAAAAAATAAATAAAATACGTTATATATATATATATATATATATATATATATATATAATAAAAATATTTTATATAATATATAGTATTGTTAAAAAATGACATGAAAAGAAATTATCTTTAAAATGATCATAAAAATAAAATATACCTATTTATTTATCTATTTATTTATTTATTTATTTATTTATTTTATTAATTTTAAATGGATACATTTTTGTAAAACATATAAAACTTAGTATAAAAAAAAATATAAAATCAAATATATAAAAAAATATATATTTATATATATATATATATATATATAATAATAAACTATGAATTATTTAAATGATCCTTATATGATAAACAACGACCATGCCATAAATAGAAATAATTGTTATCCACACGAAGAAGAAAAAAAAAATATAAATGTTGACCAAAAGAAATATATATATGTTGAACAGAATGAACGTATAAATGTTGAAGAATGTGGTCCTCAGAGTAAGAATATAACATCAAGAAAAAGATATATAAATGATAATAATATAAGTGGACCTTATCATGTACATAATAATTTTGATAATCAATATAAAAAACCAAAAAAAAATTATATTCATAATAATTTTTATCAAAAAAATAATAATATTTTTTCCCATAAACAACCAAATGATATATATCATCATATGAACATAAATAATATAGATGTTTCTAATAATAGTTGTGTTATGAATAAAATAATGAAATCCTTTGAAAAAAGTAAACAAAAAAAAAATTCTTCACATGGATTATATAAACATGTGAATGATACCATAACATGTTTATTAGACAATCAGATATATGATCATAATAATTTATATGTGAATACTCATTTGTTTCCAGTTTGCCAACAAAATAGAAATGACTCAAAAAAACATAGAAATAAAAAACATATTAGAAATTCTGAATATGTTTGTAATAATAGGTTGAGACAAAATTATGATAATGTTTTTTCTTCCTTAACATGTGAAGACAAAGCTATAAACAATTATATGAAACGATCTTATACCTTGAATGACAAAAATGATACTAGTGATTATTTTTTAAATGAGAATATTTTTGAAAATGTCAACTATGATAATGATAATTACGAGGATAGTAAAAACCATGTGAATAATAAATTGATTAATGATACATATTATAATATCAATGAGAATATAAAAAATAAGACATATAATAATATACTTGCTAATCATATAGAAGGAGATGAAGAGAATGATGCTAATATTATAGATACAGAAGAAAATATAAAAGATATAAGAAAATATAATGAAGAAGGAAATATGAAAAAAAGAAAAATGGATATATTAAGAAAAGATGATATTTTAAAAGATGCAGTAGAATATTTCCAAAATTGCCTATCAAGAAATAATGATAATATAAATAATGATAGTTCAAATGAAGATGATATTAAAATAAAAAATAAATATTTTAAAGAAAATCTTTGTTATGTATGTAAAGAAAAAGAATATATTTATAAATGTCCATATTGTGAAATATGTACATGTTCTTTAGAATGTTCAAAAAATCATAAAAAACTTTTTAAATGTACACAAAAATTGAAAAAAAATTTAAAAATAAAAAATGTTACTAAAGGCAATTTTGATGAATCCATATTATATAAAGATTTTCTTTATTTACAAAATATAGCTACTATAATACAAGGAAATTATAAATATATCAAAGTTAAGAATTATGAAACTACAAAAATATGGTTATGCAATAATAAAAAATTATTTAAATTATTAAAAAAAAGAAAAATTATTTTATTAAAAGCTCCTATATATACAAAGATACATAATGAAAATAAAACATTCATATCGAATTATATTCTTTTCTGGTCCATCAAAATAACTTTTGTTAATCTTAATATTATCGTTTTACAACATGAAATAAATGAAAATCTTACTTTTATGGAAATTATTCAATATTTATGTTCAAAAATTGAAAAATTACAAAGAAAAATTTATCTATATCTTAAAAATGTTAAATCCATATATATATCATTGAAAAATGAACAACCAAATAATATAAGGAAACATTTTAATAATAATAATCATCATCATCATAATTACATTAATAATGATAATGCATATGATATAAATCAATATTGCTCAGTTCAGCAAATTCTGAGGAAGTCACTGTGGGGAAAATCCTTTTATGAATACCCTCATTTTCATATGGAAATTTTTTTTGAGGATGATAAACCGATTGAAAACCCTTTGTATGACATCGAGTACAAACAAGAGGACGAAAATCAACATACTTATCAACAGGAAGAAAGGAAAGGTAATACGACTGATATGAAAGAAGTTGACGCTGATATGAAAGAAGTTGACACTGATATGAAAGAAGTTGACACTGATATGAAAGAAGTTGACACTGATA